ATCCCAGTGCTTCACCATCCTCCTAGGGAAATAGTTTTTCCTAATATCCAAACTACAGCTCCTCCACTGCAACTAGAAACCATTGCTCCTTGTTCTGTCATCTGTCACCACTGAGAACAACCTCTCTCCAACCTCTTTGGAACCCCCATTCAGGTAGTTGAAGGCTGCTAACTGCTCACAGATAAAGGAGAAACAACAAAGATTTATTGTACACCTGGGAAGAGAGTGTCTGGAATGGGCACAAGAAGAGAAGACTAATGCTGTAATAAAAGGCTTTTCTGTTAGGCATTCAGGAAGGTTCAGTGCTGGTTCTGCTGGAAAAGGAGCGGTATAAATTCCATCAAATGCTACAGAACCTAAGTTTAATTTTTTTTTAATTTGAAATATATGTCAAGTTCTTTCCTTTGTGAGGCTCAAAAACCTAATCCCACTTAAACCAGTCACTAGGGATGAAAGTTTGCTACTGAGATTATTCCTAAAGATCACGGGGTTGTTCACTGTCCACATTGGAGTCAATAGGGCAATCTTTTGGGACCCAGGTGACTCAAGGACACAGATCTATCAGGTTTGGTATAGTGGAAGGCTGCAAACCAAAACGCACTAACTATTAAGTAGCTGACTAGAAAATACAGTATTTCTGGGACTGAAAATGTTTGTACAGCACCTAGCACAATGGAGGACTGGTCCGTGACTGGGGCCACTGGGTGCTACTGCAATGCAAAAGTTAAATAACAATTAGTGGTAGTAATCACGATATGGGAGGCCTGTCCCAACAATCTTCCAACCTCTGAGGGAGCTGATCTCATCTCTGCCACTGACTTCCTGTGTAATCTTGGGCAAGTCATGTAACCTCTTTGTACCTCACTCTGTATAAAGGTGAGAGGGATGCTTTGAGAATGGAAAACAGTCCAGAAGTGCTAAGCAGTAATATTATTATATTATTGCACTTATTTCACTGTGATTAAGACTAGGAGAGGTTGTGGAATCTCTCTCACTGGAGATATTTAAGAGCAGGTTAGACAGACACCTGTCAGGGATGATCTAGATGGTGCTTGTTCCTGCTGTGAGGGCAGGGGACTGGACTCGATGACCTCTCAAGGTCCCTTCCAGTTCTAGTGTTCTATGATACTACGGGGTAGTACAGTTCTAGTGTTCTATGATACTATGATCCTGAGTCTGCACAAACTCTTCTGGGAGTTTTAGAAGCCAAGGGATGCTCCCACCATAGGTCACTCTCAGAGTTGGCACTGCCCAGCAGGAGAAACTGGGATTCACTGGGACACATAAATAAACCAGAGGGGAAAAAAGAAGCCAAATATCAATCCTGCTACTAGATTGAGTGAGGGGAGCGGGGAGACCCCACCCTCAAGAGGTGATATTCATCTTAGAAAAGAAGAGACTAAGGGGGGATATGACAGAGGTCTATAAAATCATGACTGGTGTGGAAAAAGTGAATACAGAAAAATTATTTACTTATTCCCACAATATAAGAACTCGGGATCACCACATGAAATTAATAAGCAGCGGGTTTAAAACAAGAAAAGGACGTTTTTCTTCACACAGCGCACAGTCAACATGTGGAACTCCTTGCCAGAGGATGTGGTGAAGACCAGGACTTTAACAGTGTTCAAAAGAGAGCTAGATAGATTCATGGAGGTTAGATCCATTAATGGCTATTAACCAGGATGAGTCGGAACGGTGTCCCTACCATCTCTTTGTCTGGAAATGGGTGACAGGAGAGGAATCTTGTGAAGATTACCTGTTGTTCCCTTCCACTGAGGCATCTCATATTGGCCACTGTCAGCAGACAAGATACTGAGCCAAATGAACCTTTGGTCTGACCCAGTATGTCCATTCTTATGATCAGCGGCGGCCCGTGAGCATAGGCCAACTCAGCCTTCACATAGGGTACTGTATTCAACGGGGTACCTGGGGCGCCCAATGATGACGTCATGGCCATTGATGGCCGTGCAGGCGGGGGCGCCGATCGCGCATTCCGCCTGGGGCGCCAGCTGCCGCAGCTCACCCTGCTTATGATGTAGTAGCTTTCCCTTGTAAGGACTGCTGCTATTGGTCAATTCCAGTGCATCTAGCAAACCAGCAAAAGGGACATGGCTGCCAGGATATGGCTGTGGAACTTGGAAGCAGGCTTTTCCTCCTCTACTCACCCTTTCCCCACCCCCACTATGAAAAATCCACCCTATCCCCTTTCTTCGGGCCATGGGTCATATGGGATGAGTGCAAACGAGTGATCTAGTATCAGGGAGGCCCGGGTTGGTTGCCTTGTGTGGCTAACACAAGTTAAGCCTTGAAGTGAGGTGGGCCTAGGCTTGGTGCCTGATTAGATGCTTGACATTTGAGCACCAAGAGCAGGAAAGGCAGGTGGTGGCTCCGGGTAACAAATGTCTCCCTCTCTCTCCCTGCAGCCTGCAGAGGTTATTGTAAGAGTGACCTTCCTGGATGTGAAAAGCCAATAAAGTTGTAGCCCTTTGCCATTTTGAGGGAGCTTGTTGCTTGAGTATATAACACCACTGCCCATTCCTCTTTGATCAGCATCACTCCCTCCATCGCTACAGTTCACTCTCCTCTCTGAGCCAGCTCTCCCCACCGATATGTGGGATGCGGCTTAATGGAGCAGGGACTAAAAATGCTGCAGCACATGAGTTAACAAAGCAGGGACTGAGCTGTGACTATCAGGCTTTGCTGAGGGCCATGAAATCTGAGATTGGCTGTGAGTGAAAAGATGCAATATGGGATAGCATCACAGTCTTGATGGTAATGAAGATCCTCATTTCGTAACAGAAGGAGGTGGGGTTCTCTTGCTCATACGTCGGTTTCAGCCTGACTCTCTGACTTGCACAGTCTGCAAGAGGCAGAGCCATAATGCTGCTGCAAATGAAGACGAGATGGTTGCTGTTGCAGATAGTGGGATAGTGTAACACAAAACAATACCCAATTCTCTGTAAACCAGTGACCACTAATCAAAAGAGAACTAAAATAAGGTCCAGCATATTATTAATTCAAACCCTCTATGAGTCTGTCCAGAGACGCACTGAACTATTAAAATGCCTTCAAGTTTCCATATACACAAAAGAACCAACACGTGTCTGGAACTTGTTTGTTTTCTTATCAGTAATATTTACTTTTTGTAGGGTGCTCACCCCAGAGTAGAATGTCTGCCCGTCTCTCTGTCATCTCCCTTGAACTAAACATGGGGGCTAAGAATGATTAGAGGGCTGGAGATTGGGGCTGGTGGCTCTCGACCCACAAGAAAGCTATGCCTCTTTGGGATTTGTCATGATGCTCAATGATAAGAAGGCCTTGATTCATCAGAGCACACTGAAGCATGTTCTTAACTTCCATTAACTTTAATTCACTTCAAAAAGTGCTTAGAGACTTTGCTGAATTGCTAAGGAAAGTCGAGCGTCCTGTGGTATATTTTTCTCAGTCTTATTTGATTGTGTCCCTCTGTAAGGCTTCATGAGGCTGTAGTTCTGATTTCTCAAATTCCATATCCAGCTGACCTCAGTGAACTCCAGTACTTCCCTGGGTATAACTGACAGTCAAATTCTTCTCTGGGGGCACAGCTTGCCAAAAAACGAAGGGGCAGTGAAAGAAAGGACTGAATCCCATTACTCCCACCCATGTGCCTTCCTCCTCCGTCAATGGGAGGATAGATTTATAACTGTCTGCAGCATGGCAGGGTATTTCAAAACCGACTGTAGTAATGGCACACACATGTGGGGGTCCTTCTTGTGCCACTGACGATGAGATTCTGGAGAAAAACAAGACACTAAAAGGGACTGAAGAATTAAACAGTAACTGAATTTTCTAAGATTCCCAAGATGTGCATAATAGCAAAGATTGTTTGCACAGCAATGAGTCCCATATGAAACTGGAATTCCTGGCGGAGTCCCCACTTGTTTGAAAGGTAGCCTCTGGAGGTAAATATTGTTCGTTTTTAAGAGAAAGGGCAGTAAAACCTTGCCCGTTTAGATATAAAAGTTCCAAGAGTAGACTGCGTGCAGTGCATTTTCCCAACTGAAGGGCTATAGTTCATAGAAATGTCATTCTTCTAGTTACTGTGTTGTTCTAGAGCAGTGGTTCTCAAACGTTTTGGCCTGTGGCCAACCCCATTCTATGCAAACTTTTCCACGGACCACCAGCCAGACACCCATAGCCCCAAGCCCTTTAAATCACCACTGGAGCACCACACTACGTGGTCCAGGCAGTGCTGAGGGCCGGCTACATTATCCTACCTTTTCTGCCCAAGATCCCACCTCTTTTGGGAGTGTGGAGCCAGCTCCCCCCTCCACACCCCTTTCCCAAGGGCCTGGCTCCCTTGTGTGTACAGGGGGAGGTGGATCAGATGGGGAGCCTGGGGAACTGGGATTGGCTGGGCAAGGAAACTGGGTTCAGAATCCTGGATCAGAGACTGGGACTGGTCTGAGGAGCGGGAGAGGTTCAGGTTTGGGGATATGGGCAGAAGGGTCTGGGTGACCCTAGAGCACGTTCCCCTGCAGAGGCTGGAATGGAATCCAAGGATTCCTGCGTCTCACCATTCCTCCGCTGTAAGCAAATATCTGGGAAATGCAGAGGCAAAATATGCATCTGCTCCCTCTCTAATGCAGGTCCACATACAAGATGCCAGCTTACTAATACTATCAGCTACTCCAGCCATTCAAATGACAGCAGTATACGGCGTATACACGTGTTGAAGCCTACTGGGGTAAGAGGCAGTACTGATAATGCACAAAGGCACTTCCATTTTTTCATTTGATTTATTTTAATCCAGAACATTACACGTAAAATAAAAGTGGACTGAATGGTCGCAAAGCCAAGCATGCAAAAATTAGGAATTGAGAGAATTAAGGCTTCCTGAACAATCTTAATTCATTCTTCTTGATCATATGCATTACGACACAGTCATTAATTACATTATCACATACTTCCCCTCTTCCCCCCACACATACACTTTTGAGTGCCTGATTTGCAACCTTAACTTTCTTCAATATAGTTTTTGTGTGTGATCTGTATACACAGTAGGTGGGCTTCATCATATTCCCTACCCTCTGAGGTATACTCCAGAAAAGTCACCTCTTTAACAACTCTTTAAACATGCCACATTATAATTGCAGTCACAGACTACTGTGATATACTCTGAATGCCTAACCATGTATTGTTTCTCTCGTGTCACTAAAACAATCTCTTTTTCTCTAGCCAAACCAGTTTAGACCTTAGGTTTGCCGTGCCTAACTCTTTAATAGCTACTGATTGGTGAATTTCTTCTATTCCCCCTCACCCTGGAGTCCCTGTTTTAAGGGCACACAGTGAGACAGCTGTCTCTGCTGCATTCATGCAGGTTCTGATTACTGTGCATGCTATTGATGTTGAGCTCCTGTCATGACCCAACACTCCATAGGAGGAGCAAATGAGCTGAGACGTCAAGGCAAAAAATTATAGCCATGCGAGCTATCCCTGGACTCAGCTGCTTTTGGAGCACATACATGGCTAGTGTGACAGCAACAGCACACAGAAGCAGCAATGAAATGCAGTTAGCAGTGCAGCTGGGAGACAAGCAGGCAGGCACGGGTCCAGTTTCTAAAATGATCCTCTCGTAAGCTAGTCTTCAGTGCCTCCAAAAGTGGTTGACTTCTGCAAAGCAGCCCAGCTTTTCTTCGCAAATACTCTGTGGTGTAACTCAGCTTCTCTTGGTGACTGCAGTGTTTTGTTGTTGTTTTTTTCTTCCCCTCTGTGGCCTTTTCTCCAGGATGGCGGAGGCAGAATTGCACAAGGAAAGGCTGCAAGCCATAGCAGTAAGTCAGTTTCATTTTACTTGCTCTTTTGTCTGTGAATGGGGAGCCGGGAGCTGCTGAAGTAGCCAAGCATTCCAGCACGGTAGCAGGGCAGCATTTAGACAGCGTGGTTTTGGAGAAGTTTTCAGCATAGAGTTCTCCCTTTTCCTCCTTAGCAAACAACTGGTTGAAGACCGTTTTTATGTGATTTAACTGATACCAGGGAGAGTTAGGATGCTCTCTTATGGCAACATGTGCCAAACCCATGAATACGTGGTGACATGCTTAAAAGACTGATGAAAGGGAAGAACCGGAGGAGTAAATGAGGAGGGTGGAGGTTGGAGGGAGAGCATCTGGACTTTGGTTATAAGGATATTATTGCACTGTTGGAGCTGTAGTTAAGCAGATGAAGAAGTTAAACCAGAGGGAACAGACTCAGGGTGGCTTTTACTGAAGAATATGATGCTTATTTTTTTTTAAAGGCAAAAAAAAAATCAAGTAAAGAAGGCAGATGATCAGTCATCATTCTGTCTTTTCTACTGATCTTAACCTATAACCTCAACTCTGTTGCAGGAGCAAAGTTACCAAAGAATTTTAATTTCAATTTTTATTTTCCTTTTTGATATTAAAATCAGACACACAGTGAGGCAGCCTGAGCTGATGCAAATGGGCTCAGTGCCATTTGACTTCAGTGACACTACAGCCAATGGGCGCAGCGGAGTAATTGGCCCCAGTTTTTCAAAAATATAATTGTGCTCACAAGGGAAAATGTTGGGTCGTTATTAAAAGCACCACATTGCCATGACTTCTGTCCATCCATTAAAGCCCGCCTAACCTTGCCCTGGTTCAGGATGACACTCAGTTGGGTTTGGGGATGGTCTTTGGCGTGGCTGTCATGCTAATTCAGCAAATCTATGGAGTCAAATGGTACGATATGTGCAGAATGTTTCAGGTCTGCAGGGCAAAGGCAGAGACTGACTGAGCCTGCTTGGATTTTAGGAGCCCCTGCCAGCGTGTTGCCAATGATCAACAGATGTTGTGTTTTACTAGAGCTGCCACAGCTGGATTATATATTTCCTTTGTAGACAGCGGAATGGCGGCAGCGGCTGCTGTTGTACCCAGTTGTTTTTCTTAGGTCTGTGAAACTACTAAGAGGCACATGTATATTTAACATAAACAGAAAAAGTATAAACTAAATACATGTTCCTCTAAAATGTTTCCTGGAAAAGATCAAACGTTTTCATTTAAAGGGGAGGAGGAGATATTATGTCTTAAAGTGTTTAATGTTGTAATAGAGAGAAGTAGCTGATTTAAAAAAAAAACTGGTCCAAAGTATTTTACAGGTATAGGCATTAACAATTCCTCTGATCAAAGTATTAATCATGATTCTTTAGGCCATTAAAGGGCTAATTTTCACATTCCCCACTTGCAAACTCTTTTTGGAAGCTTTCTGCTGCCAGACTTGGAGAACTGGCACTGCATTGCTCCAGAAATTATTGCAATTATATTTGAGAACCTTGAAAAATCCTTCTTTGTCTTCAAGCAGAAAAGAGCTGGGGGATGTATGACTGCTGCCTTCTTTTGTCATTGAATTGTTTGTGGATAACCAGTGGCCCATGCTCCCGCTCGTGGGTATACAGTACATAAGAAAGAATGTGCCTGGATTTAAAACAGTTCAACATGAAACACAAAAATATTCAAATTTGGCCTTGGGTTGTAGGCAGATTGCACCCACAAGCCAGCAGTTTGTCTGCATATCAACAAGTTGTCCATATCAGTTTTGGGGAAACTTTACAGCTCCTGCAGAATAGTTGCAAATGTCAGTCGGCGTGTATTTTGAATGCAAACTTGGTTCATCAGCATGGGGCACCAGGCAGAGTCGCGGGGTACTTGTCCTATGTTCCTGGTTTGTTGGGCTTATCCAATATGATTAGGAGGATCATCCAAACTTAAATGGTGTCTCAGAAAAGAGGGATGCAGTAGTTCAGTTAAGACCACTGATCCATCTGGAAAAGTCAGGAGAAAATATTTTAATCAAGTTCTTGTATCTCTCTCACACAGGCAAAGGTCTATTGCTATATATTATTACAAGAGTGGTGTGAATGCTCAGGGGGGAAAAATCCTTGCACAATTATTGCAATTTCTAAGCAAATTCACTTGGACTATGATCAAAGTGATTGCTTCTCTGGACAATCTTGGGAACAAATTTACTGTTAGGAACATTCACAGAAATAGTGACTGTTGTGTGAATATTGCAGAATATTGAAGGAATGCAAATTTCAAATTGTGAATTGTGATTTTTTTTTTTCCTGGCAGAAACCTGATAGTTTCCTCTCAGCCATATTGTTGCAGTTTCAAACCAGTGATCTCTCAAAAGATACATCTACACTTCACACTTATTTCAAAATGAACTATTCTGGGAGAAATACTCCGAAATAGCTTATATCAAAATAGTGCATCTACACTGCAGGCTCCCCTAATGTGGATGTGCTACCTCGATTTAGAGCCCCAGGAAGCAACAGGGAGTAATTACTTGGAATAGGGGAGGAGCTATTTCAAAATAGCAGCAGTCGGAGCGTCCACAATACTGCTGTTTCAAAATAGCAATTTTGGAAGAGGCATTATTCCTCATGGAATGAAGTTTACAGAAGTCAGAAAAAGCCTTCCGTTATTTCAAATTTATTTCAAAATAGCGGAATTGCTGTGTATACGCTTGCACTATTTAGCATTAATGATCATTATTCCAAAACAACGCTGCTGTGTAGACACAACATCTTTCTATAGCTCTGATCCTGCATTGTGAGCAGAGTTGAAGTACAAGTGGGAGAGGAAAGTGTGCCCTTTTGTTAAGGCACCAGTCTAGATCTTGGGAGACTGGGTTCAATTCACTACTCTGCCACAGATGTGACTGTAGGCAAGTCACTTAGCTCTCTTTTCCATCTGTGAAATGGGGATAATAGTAGTGGTCTACCTCATAGGGTGTTGTGAGGACAACTACGTTAATGACTGTGGGATGCTCAGACATTACGGTGATAGGAGACACTCAGTGATAAGATCATTCTTTTCAATTCTCTGCAACATTTCTAAAAAGAGTTTGTCCCCTGTAAAATACTGCTTGTGACATAGTGAAAACACAGGCTGGTCTGGAGTGACATGAAACTTTTCTTAGCACTCCTTCAATATAACTTCTGTGTCATTTTTGCAACTCATGAGTAACATGGTTTCCTCAAACAGGACGATAAAACCTTTATATCATTCTGTACCATCATGTATTTTTATGCATACATGTTTATCTTGAATCCTATGTTAAGCAACTATTCAAGGCACTGACATAAATCAGCTGCTTAGCACAAGCTGTCTTCTGACACAAATCAAGCAGAAGTGTATGCAGTATGATGGTATGGAGGTACTTTGGAAAGTGAGTGATTGGAAGGATGGATTTCTGCTTATATGAGCTAGAACAGAAGATTTATATAGTTTGACAGATTTCAGACTTGATTGAATAATGCTAACCCTTCATCTTGGATTAGTGCATTTTTCATGGGGAGGGACTGGTAAAATGTGGAAGAAAGAGAGAAACATTTTTGTGGCATTTTAAGCAATGATGGCTGACTTAAGAAGTTTGGAATGTTAGCCTTCCCAGAGGAGGTGGATTTAGTGGGGAAAGAACAGGTGAGACTAGCAATTTATCATGTGGTGGACAAATTAATCAATCTATGACATGGTTGTCATGATCATGAAATGATATAAATGTATATGTGTATGCTTACATATAGTGTATGTATAAATTGCCAGGCAACAATGGTTGCAATTCAGATCACAATAAGTCTCTCTCAAATTAGATGCATACTACAAGCAAAAAAAAAAAAAAATGAGAGCCAGAAAATGCCATCATGATTAAACAACAGAGTAAAAAAGGCAGATAGTGGCAAAAAATATATATCCTTTTAAAACTGGAAGTCAAATCCTACTGAAGAAAATAGAAAGGAAGATAAACTCTAACAAGTCAATGGTAAAAGTATAATTAGGCAAGCCAAGAAAAATTTGAAGAGAAACTAGCAAAAGACACAAAAACTAAAAGCAATCACAGGATCCAGGTGCAAAAGGAGCACTCAGAGATGATAAAGCTCTTGGGGACAAGCTCAATAAATTAGTTACATTGGAGAGGCTACAATGGAGATTCCCACACTGAGCCATTCTTATCAGATGACAGATCTGAGGAACTGACCCATATTGTGGTGTCAATAGAGAAGGTTTTGGAACATTTTGTTGAATTAAACAGCAATAAGTCGCCAATACCACATGGTATTCACCTAAGCATTGTGAAGGAACTCAAATACCATACTACACAACTGCTAGGTGTTGTGTATAATTTATTGGTGAAATCAGCATCTGTATCGGGGAGTGGAGGATAGCTAATATAATTTTAAAGGACACCAGAGGCAATCCTGCCAACTGCATGGCGATAAGCCTAACTTCAATACCAGGCAAATTGGTTGAAACTATAGTAAACAACAGAATTAGCACGCACATAGATGACCATAGTTTGCTGACAGAGTCGTGCCTCACCAGTCTGTCAGAATTCTTTGAGGGAGTCAACAAATGTGAATAAGGGTGAGCCAGTGGATGTAGTGTACTTGGACTTTCAGAAAGCCTTTGGTCTGGTCTACTCTGAGGGGAGCCGACAGCTTTGCCCAGACTCTATGCAAGGTGTGGGGAGGGGTGGCTCCACATTTCTCGAAAGGGTGGGATGGAAGGGCTGAGGCCGGGCAGGCAGCCTCAGAGATGTTGGGACCATGCCGTGCACCCCTCCCCCCCAGCCCTCAGTTCTGTCTGGAACACGCCACTTAGGTCTCTGGAGCATGGCGTGTGGCGCTCCGCTGGGTGATTTAAAAGGTCCCTTTGAATCACTGGACCTGGGGAAGTTGTCCCCTTTGGTTCCCCCCTGCCCGCATATATTGGCAGACCTGTCTACACTATAAACTTACCTGGGTATAACTATGTTGCTCAGAGGTATGAAA